TCACAAGTTTTTGCGATGAATATTTTGTGGGTCAGAAGATAAAAAGTTTGGGAACCACTGGTCTAGTGGATAGGTGACACACATATGAACAAAATGTGTGACAGCTGTTAACATTAACGTTGATCAATAGCATATATAGACCATTAGTGCTTCTAAATTTAGTAAGTGCTAATCCACTAATAACTTTTAAAATTAGCAAAATCCCTAAAGCACTAATCAGGAAATTAGTTCCCCTATTAGTGCTTTAGGGGAGCTGTGCCCACCACTGACAGCTCACAACATCACGTCACAAATGACAAACACAGCTACAACTCTGTCATTTCTCAAAATCTCCTCCAGTTGATCTTTATTTAAAACCGTGAAACAAACGTCGACAGGCGTCATGCATTCCTCTTTCGTTTGACTAATTTTTGTTTGTTTTGGCCCAAAGTACAGATTTGATGTTATAAAAGAAGCACATAGCTTCAAAAAACAGTTGCCATCCAGACTCATAATGAAAACACACTGTGGTTTTTGTGTTACACAAAACAATGCCACCTGCTTTATTTTTAGTTTCTTGGTGCAACRTGACCTCAGAAAGCAGCGTTCTCTTTTTAAACAACAACAACTCTGACCACACACATCTGGACTGACCGACACGTTTCACATCAGGACCAGCTGAACACGAAATCCGACACAAATGATCCATCCATCAGTAACGTCGACGGGTGCGCCGGGGGTCCCCCGCCACTCACCTCGTTGCCATGGTTTTGGAGGAACTCCACTTCCTGTTGGGAGAATGTCGTCATGGAGATGGACTTGACCCTGTGGGGTGGGTTGAGGCCTCTCCTGGGACACAGAGGAGACACGTGGAAGAAGTGAGAGGAAGGGACAAAGCCAGGGGGGAAGAGGGGATAACCTGACAGGTGACGGTGTATTTCAGGGGCGGGTGTGTGTGTGTGTGTGTGTGTGTGTGTGTGTGTGTGTGTGTGTAAGGGGAGGGAAATATATCCTCCTACAATCACCATGCTGGGTGGGGTGGACATAAAAGTGGGACACTGCTGTGTGTGATTGCGCAATAAGTCACCACAACAACCCGTCTTCATGAAGAGGAGTGTGCTGGGGGCTGAGCATGCACAACAACAACAACACACACACACACACACACACACACACACACACACACACACACACACTGGAGGTGGTCCTGGGGAGAGAAGAGGAGAAGGAGCGTGTCAAACCTGCACCATCATGACGGGATAAATCAGGGCTGGAAAAGTGTCGTTTAGGAAGCTGAGGGGGGAGACAGAGGCACACACTGCGTAAATTAATGTGCGCACACACATCCTGGGGCTGCAGCACCAGCCTTAATACCCCCTCCCTCCCTCCTCCTCCTCCTCCTGTTGACGTGGGGGAAATCAAAATATTACTCTGCACATTTCAGTCCACACGCCGCTGCAGCCTGGGGCCTGATCTCTCAGTCTGCCTGTTCATCAGCCCAGTGTGTTTGTGTGGTTCTTGTACTCACAACATTCCGGAGCACGACGTGCAGACGAAGCTGCCCACCGTGATGTCCGTGTACGTCACMCCGGGCTGGTTGCACTCGAAGCAGTGTTTGTTTACCCCGGACTGGGCCAGCTCCCGGACCTTGCGGGCGCAGATTTCTTGGTTGTCCCGGTGCTTTCGGTTCGACATTTTATCCTGGACCGGTGCCTGGCAGATGGACAGACGGGCCCACCCCACCCCCCAGCCCGGTAACACCTCCTCTGTCCTCCTCCTCCCAGGCTTTGCGCCGTTTACTACACGGAGCGCCTCACGCCCGCTTTATTTTGGAAACGTTACTTACGATGCGGCTTCACGTTAATGCCTGCGCCGAGGGGCGGAGCGTCAAGTTACACAGAGAGACGCCGGAAGTACGTCAGGAGTCCTTCAAAATAAAACTCAGCAACAAGAAACGAAAGTCTGTCAGAAAAATATAAACAGTAACACATGAGTCCTGATGCATCTCAGTAATCCAGGTAAAAAATCAAAAGGAAAAAATTTGTATAGGTCCTCTGGACGGGTTCTTC